CTCCCGGTGGAAGAGGTAATTCCATCTCTTCACCTTGTCCAAAGGAATTCCGGCCAACGCATTGAAGCCGAGTGCGATTGTCAAACAAGTCGACCCAAAGTAAATGAGAGCTATCAGGGGTCGAGAAAATGTGGCTCGGTGCTGGGGTCAAAAGCGTAGTTCTCCCTCTTGAAACAGGTGAGATTCATTATACAAGAAAGCCAAATCATACCTGAATGTTTTTGTTATCCAAGAATAAAACCTGCATTCACCGCTCTCGTCTACGAGTAGGAGCTCTTCTTCAGGGCCTCCAATAAAGAGTAATTCCGAAATTTTAGGAACACCCCTAGGATACCATCGCGTCAGGTCTGCAGGACTTCCATATGGTGATAATGTGGCATTATCGACATCGTATTTAAAGCGATGAAGTTGTAGTGAGGTCTTACAAGTGCCGTCAGTATCTACGATAGAAAGAATATAGTAAACCTTACATCTGATCGTGAAAGCAATGCGAGAGAGCAACTCGATTCATCTATGGCAAAATTGGCTTGCTGTCCAGGCTCCTCCACATAGAAGGCTTTCTTGGAAACATATCTCCCAATAGATGACCCTATGTTCTTGGTGAAATCGAGGGCTGCTTTGAACTGTCCAGAGCCGTCAAGTATCATCAAGCATCGTTCCTTCCCAAGTAGATACAAGTATCTGGAAATAGCTAAGTAGGTGAAGGTTTAACTAATGGGCATACAAACCGTAACGTAATATCGGGCGGAAGAGTGAACTGCCAAGTGTCCCGATGGCTGATATCTGGACGAGGAAGATTTTGACTTGGATTGACACCTCTCCTATTGGTACATTTTAATCCGATAGGATAGAGCCTATACTGAAAACCGGCGGGTTGTGGTCGCAACTTGATCCTGTCAAGTAAGTAGCATTCTATCTCAAGTCATTCAGAAGATGTGGTGTTACGAATGATTTAGACGAACCTTCATTGAACACGAGGTCATCTTGAGGCGATATTTGTATGCGTTTAATCCTGATGGTGGGCCTTGGCAGAGTTTGTGTCACTTGTACCTCACACGAGGTTTTTTCTACTTACTTCGTCTCGTAATAATCTCGTCCGAGTATTTCCATCAAATTGTCACGCAGGAATTGCCAGGCTTTAACCTCGTTTTGCTTGACTTCTTTGTTGAAAACTCGCTTCAGCTCCTCCTCATACCGACGTCGGAGAGCATCTTTGAGCCGTTGTCCCGTGCGCTCAGATTGTTCTAGTATGATCGTCCAAAGAGAGTCTATGAGGGATGGGTTGCTTCTTTTGTCATCAAAAATCTGCTGCTTCCTCTTTTCAGTACGCCCGAGTAGCTTTCGAAGACCCCTAGCATTCGTGGATGATTGTTTTCTGGTGGTTCCTCCTGGTGTGCCTTCGATACCTTTACTTCCAGCCACAGGGCAGAAGAGGGCTTTGAGTGCCTTGAAGGGCGCCATAGTTCTTCTGACAAGAATCCTAAAACAGCTATCAGAGAGCGTAAGGGAGTCTTCAGAGGTCGCCTCAATCGTTTTCTCGTCGACCAAGTTCACTTGGTGCTTAAGGGACGACTTTGAGTTATTGTAAGCTCTCTCTTGGTCTTGCTCGAGCTGATTAATCCTGATCTTCAGCTCTGCCAGTGCTTCTAACTTGATGTCGTAATAATCGTTAAAAAGGACTTCAACTGTCAAAGTTTATAAATAAGAGAGGAGGAATTTCAATTTCATGTTGCACTGACTTCTTGCACGAGCCGATTCCAAGTCGACAGGCGTATCCTCACTATTACTGACTCTCCTAAGAAGATCTCCTAGCACCCACCCCCTGGTTATTGTTAGACAGTTCACATCAGCACTATAGAGGACTCACGGGTGAAATTCAGAAACCTTGTATATCATCCATACTGTCAAGGCTCTCTCAATCCCATGCACCCCGGCCATACGGTCTCCGAGATTGGAAGCATAAGAAGCTTCTAGATTCGACTTGAGCTTCTCTTTATAAGCTTTCCATCTACTCTCCAAGTCTCCGCATCGAGCCTTCACAAAATCCATCTGCATCAAAATGGTGATGCTTTGTTCATCGATGCTTTCGTCTATATCGACTTGGTATCCTTGTTTTCCGCTGTTGAACCTAGTCAGTTGCTCGTTCAGAAATAGGAATGCTGGAAATACCTAAAGAGGGATTTGAGCCAGGTCGGGTAACTTCATCTTCTAACTCTGTCCTCTCTATACCTTCTGCGAGATAGCTCGTGAGGAGTATCCCATGGACAGCCTCACCACCGACGATCCTGGGATCTAAGAGGTATGAAGGAAGGTGACTGGGGTATCCGGGTGGTGAACTGTTCGGTTGAGTGGATATTAGATGCTTGATCTGTTATCAAATTAGCCATGGTTACGAATTTCAAGCTTTAACTTACGGATATAGTTTCATAAATTGGCCCGGCCTTATGGTCTGGCTCCGCCTCCTCGAAAGCATTCGTACTACCCTTATCTGAGTTGATATCCCCGTTTGTATGCGTGCCAGCGATGGTATTGCTGGTTTGATTGCCTTCCAATGCTAAATTGGCTGCGTCTTCGTCTGAAATCAAGCAGATCAATTGATCCGACAGCTTTTGTAGGTATCTGTACGGGTGTATTAGGTTGGGCCAAATCAGGCCAAATCTAACACACGCAATATGTACCTCATGAAGATCGTACGGTTATCCGAGGCTTCCAATTCGGCCTCGTCATCCCAGATATCATCCTCTGGCCAGAAAATTATAAAACTGAGATCATCCTTGATATGGCGACCATCTAAAAGGTAAATTCCAGTGGAAAGAACAGGTCGAGTAATGCCAGATGACTCGTCCCGCGGTTCGCATAGAAGGGAAGCACTAGTAAAGTTAGTAATGGTTTGACATCGTAATGGAAAAGACACACATCTCCGAGTCGATGCTATCAATATTTAACAAGAAGGTGACGAGAGAGCTAATGCTTCCATAAACGCCTCTGGGCTTCATGGTAAGCTTGTCCAATCCATTGAAGTCAATCTGCATCAAAAAGTCAGAGATGAGCCTATCTCCAGCGACAGACATACTCTGGAAGTGGACCGATAGGAGCCAGGGGAGACAACATCTATATACCGTCTGATGGATTCCTGGTCAACAATCGTCTTTTGTACTGCAAGGCATGTTAGGACATTCCGCTCGGGAACCTTTGATTCGGGCTCACCTGAATCTCCCAATCCGTCATCCACGACTAGTTTGATCAGTCGATAACATCCTTTAATATGGTGTGATAAGTCGAGAGAGAGGCTTTGAGCGGGCTTTGCCGGCTCCCGGCCCCTCGTTCCATTGGACATGACTTCTCAATTGCTGTTCTTCCGCCTTTATCTAGACGCTCTTGAATTAGCATGCATCCCAAATTGACGGTAGCTTCACACGAGGTCACATCTCGTAGCATCAATGTCGCAGGGAATGAGAGCAAAGAAATGTATGACTTGGAGGTTAGATGAAGCAACTTACTGTAGTTATCGTAGGTTCGTCAAAATTCCAGGAAAGAGAGAAGCCTAGCACACGAATATGCTGCAAGTTTTATGCCTTGCCTTTTTGTCAGGCTCAGTATATAGCATTGCCTCTCCAGTCTCTCTCTGATCGAGTAACCAGCACTTTGAACCACACCATCGATCTGTACACTTGGGAGGTTCTGAACATTCATGTTCCCTAAACATTATTAACCGTTCTCCAATCGTAAGCTCGATGGCAGTTACTGGTCAGCCAATTCATTGGTACAATCCATTGAACGGATCTCTGAAAACGGTAGTGCTGAGGGCTGCGGTACACGAGGCTCCTGGTCGGGTCACCACAGTGGAGGGTGGATGTTGCATATCGATTCATAGGTCTGGGTGAGATACTAGGTTCCATTTGCCGCACCACAAAAGCTTGAATAATATTCCTGACCAAATTTCGGTCACAGGTTTTCCTTTTGAAAACTAGATAGTTGTGGTTATGAACAAGTGTTTGTGCCCAAGTTACGTTAGTCCTCGACCGTCGACACACACTTTGGACAAAATCCGCCATCTCGAACTCAAACTCCTAATATAATACACTTTAATCCACAAACTGTTATCGGGTCTATATAACTTGAACGTCAATATGGAATGAGGGTACCGTGTCTCATGCCCTCAAGTCCTCACGTGTTAGCCCAGTCAATCAGGCTCTTATTTGTATGCAACACATTCGCACTGTTGTTTGCCTACTATTCAGTGTGATGGAAACAGTCTACTCTGGCGCTTGAATAGAATCGCCTTGTTGTCGTCGCATAGAGAGTACGTACACACTCTCAACGTACGAATTTCTCTGACCAATATCTTTGATTTCATATAGGTGCTCTTGTAGACATTAAGCCCTCTTATGCGAGCCTACCAAAATGGACCAAGCACCGACCCAGAAGGATGTAGAACAGGACAACCTGCAGCATCTATTAACAGTACACCCTCAACCCACTTACTGTAACGACGCTTTCCATTTTGCAAAGAAGAGGTGGCTTCCTCCGCAATCGAGCTCGGACTATGTTGAGGTAGTCAACGGCCTACACCCAACCTCTTTACAACCTATGTTCTGTTCTTCACGACTTCCTCCAGACCTATGAATCAACAAGCGCAGATTCAGCATTTCTCTGGTGCATAAAAGGGAAGGGCCTGTGTGATGGTACCCGCTGAACTTCGAAGAAGAACAAGTGCCCCCAAACATCCCCACTACCCACCGAAATTTTCTGGATTCAATCTTCCCCATTAGAGGTATCCTATAATGGAAGCAACTAAGGACCAGCCCATTCCCCGACCGTTGAATATGCGGCGTCGGTCCTCAACCAATACGCGCTACATGCAAATGCTGCTCGACCTAGACACCGTCCCTCGATGGCATAACCTACTAGTAGCAACTTTCTCCTGGCTCCTCCTCGCCGGGTTCGTCATCTCGCCCGGAACGTTCACCTCATTGGGTAACATCAACGGCGACATTGGCGGAAACGACGCCACCAAGTGGATCCTCACTCATATCAAGAACCTGCCGTTGCTGGTAATTGCAGGTTTATGCTGTGTTGTCGGTGCCGTCGGGCTCATTTCGTTCTGGATTCGCTGGAGAAAGAACTATGTCTGGGTCTGCAATAGGATCTTTCTGGTACGTGTACCGTCAACATGTGGTGATTTCAGAATAAAGTGTTTGCTAACATTTAATATGAAGCCAGGAATGCTCAACGGTCTGACTGGAGTACTCTCTACGCTTATCAGCGTTTACACTGCACAAGACAAACAATGGTCGCTAACGGCGCGCGTCTCAGTCATCGTCGAAGGGGCATGTCTCATCATCTGTGGTATCCTCTTTGGCATCTACTCGACCTGGGTGCTGAGACGCGTCAAGTTGATTCACCACAAGGAGATCAACGAGCGTGACCTCGAGAATGGCGACGCTAGTATTGAGAAAGGTGGGCAAGAAGAGAGGTATCCAGAATTGGAAAAAGGAAAGACCAGCGATGTTGTCGAGGATAAGAACAAGGGAGAAATTACGGAGGAGAGAGTAGTGGAGGAGCCAACTCAGGAATCTGCTCAAGACCATGTCATGGACAACGACATGAAGGAAGCCACAGGAATGGAAGCAACAAAGGCCGAAGAACCGATTCAAGTGGATGACAAGGTTGATCAGACGGACAGGGATGAAGGAAAAGCTGTAGAGCTTAAGAGCAAGGTGGTTCAACCAGGCCAGGAGCCTGCAAAGTCCAGCTAGGTTTAATGATTCTTGTAATTCAATGTACTTTGGGTTTGAATGAACGTGCTCTTTTGCTTCAGGTTCATTATGGCACCAAATACGAAGCAAGTATGCAAAGCCTAGGCTCACAACCTCTCACCGCAACATTACCTGGCATTCTGTACCGGAATCTGAGATGATTCCAACTATACTCTCATTTTCAAATCCGCCTCCCTTCAGCCTCGCCGACTCGACCTCTGCACATAGTGGTAATCCCAGCTCCACCGACACATATGAACCACAATTATCCATCTATCGATCTACTACGAAGTTCGGCGATACGCTGGTACCGTTGAAATTGGGATGCCATTTGGAGGTGTTGGGTTCGTTGGAGCCACCCAACGTCATGTGCCGACCAACGGGCGGCGCCGTATACGAAACCCATCGCACGACTACCCCTCCATCTTGCTCCCTACGACATTCACGATTTCTAACTCACGACGCTGGAGGCGGTGGATGCGTTGCGCTGAGGGGCGGGATATGCAAAATAGGCTATCGATAACAAGACACTATTATCAGCGGATGAATTCATATGGACGAAAAGGTGCGCAGGATGGTCATGTTGAGGTGCCACGATGCCGTCAACATGGTGATATGAAATATGGGTCGCGGAGAGGAGCATCAAGCGATAGGCTAACAATGCTCCGGGATGATTGGAGAATGAACCTACCGTGTCAGGAGGATCGATAAAGTCGTAAAACGCGTGTGTTGTGCGCGTTGGTGTCGCTGTGTTGACCTCATGTCAGTGGTGTCAGGTCATCCAAAGAGAGCTAGACTGACTCAAATAGATGCAAGGCGAGTACAACCAAATATGTACAGCGAGAATAAGAGGGAGACGGCAGAAGATGGGCTCGACGAACGCCCGCTTGAGGATGGTCGAAACCAAGGCGTGACCTCGAGCGGAGGTTGAAATTGTAGATCATGTGCGTCTCGATAATTAAGAGAAAATCGCCACAATTTGTGATAATTTCAGACAACTCATGTAGATTGCTGAATTCGTTCAACGAAATTTATTATCGGAAAAGATCGAGATACGCAAGATGAGCGAGCTACAGAATTGGTATCAAGAAAAGATTGAATGGTCCGATTACTTTTTGTACTTCTTCCTTTTCTTTTCGATTATCACCTGTCCGTGTGCTTATACAATCCTTCCCGGTTCTGGAATGGGTTCCTGCGCTTTGCGCTTAACCTTGTCTACTATTCCTTCGTCTTCATAGTATCCGTACATTTGACCGAATTCTTGGTTATGCCGCTTCTTGACGCGTTCCAGCATCCAGCCAGAGTATAGGGCGAAGAGCGCACCACATATACCGAGGCATGCGCCTTCGACGATGGCGGATACGCGAGCAGTGATGGACCACTGCTTTTGTTGAGCGGTATAGACGTTGATGATGGTCGATAGTAGACCAGCCAAGGCGTTTAGGGTACCAGGCTAGAGGTGAAGGGAGACATTAGCGAGAGGGCATATGTACAAAGAGCCTTTTTGCTTACCAGGAACACTCTGTT